ATCATTTTTTTGGATCAGATTCAAAATGGCTAATAGGTGGATAATTATTTTGTTTCTAAAAATGCTATTTGCTATTCCGTAGTTATATCTCTGACATGCCATGAACAATCATGCTCAAATTTTACATATACTTCATGCAGTATGTTCCATATACCGGTATATGCACATGCATTTGTTTGATCAGATTCAAAATCCCAAAATGGTGGCCATTTTAAAAATCACCAAAATGGAGATTTCTACCATTCCAGAACTGGATCTCGGTTATGTATGAATAGGTTTTATTTATACTTGGTAGATATATAAACATAATGGAGCTCTGTTTTAACCTTTTTACCACCAGTTCTCTCTTTTCATCACAAATTTACTAAATAGTCCTGTTTATAGTCTGGACTTTCCTTCCGAAGATTGGTACAAAATTAGCAAAATTTTTTGAGTAAAAACTGAAAATTGACCAAATTTTGTCTTAAATTAGGGTTCATTTCCAGAAATATTGAAGAATATGAGAAAAAAAGTACAGAAAAAATGGGCAGGAACATATGGTGGTGAAAAGATTAATGAATCTGATTCCACATGTATATTTCTAATATGCCTTGAACATGCCAATCATGTTCAAACTTGATACATACATCAAACATCATGTCAGACATATGCACATGTAATTGTGTGATAATCAGATTCAAGATGGCTGCCATTTTAATCTGGTCCCAGATCTCGATCCCTCATGGACAAGTATTGTTCAGACCTAATTGGTACATACTTTAAATTTAATGGACCATCACGTTTTTCCGATAGGATTAAATGAGACAGAAATTTTGTTTCAATGATTGTTGTTCTAGAGCCATATCTCTAACATATCTTGACTGATTGAAATCAAACTTTCCACCTACATTGTAAATAAGATACAAGTTTTGATTTAAAATGGCTTACTCATTTCAGTGTTGTTTGAATAACATTCACGCTGTCATTTTGACTTTTATGTTATTTATAAAAGCTATGTTTTAATTAAATAATATATCATGTCATCAAAACTAAATAAATACTATGTCTGTTCTAGGATATCATACTGATGATAGTGTTGTCATTCTTATGCGGATGGGTGTGTCATTCTCTCGACTTGCCGTCCATGTTCGGCTACATCATGGCAGGAGTCATCCTGGGATCATCTGGGTTCAACATTATCAAGGTAAATTCAAACACGTCATGACGATGATGAGTTGTTGTGTTTTCAGCTAATAACAAGATCCCTTCATCCTATAAGCAGCGTTGTCCAAATAGAGACCTCGACAAGCTGTTGTGCAGTTGTTCATTTCACAAACTCATTATAATGTATTCTATACAAATCATGATATCAATCTCAGGTTAGAAAGGAATTGTTTGTTTTTTTTACCCTGCTACGTCTGTTGCATTTATACGTCATCATGCGGGTCTTTAGGGTCAGACGCATCCATATGTAATTTTCATAACTAATCAGTTGTTCATCGTCAAAATGCTCACGTCAGATGCATAATCAGTATAATCCTGTGAACAACATTTCATTTAAAAGTTTTAACATAATTCCAATCACATTATTGAAGAAGCTAAACTCCAAAGCTTAGTATATGTACCGGATTCTGCCGTAAATTCTCCCACACGAAAAATCGCCCTGGGCGGTTTCACGGCTGGTGGGCCCTTATTTGGGGTTCAAATTTTCAAAGAAAAAATGTTCAAATATTTTTGGGGGACTTATATTTTCATTGGAAAATCCACCTACGCCGACTTTCAACACCGGCAGTTGGACCACCCAAAACGAAAGAAACTAAAATTGTATGCATTTTTTTCTAGCTGGATTAATAAGTAGACCGCGCATCATTCTCCAAAAAAAATCATATTAACGAACCTTGTGCGCCAAATACAATTATTTTGTTTCAATTTATTACTAACGAAAGTATATTCTAAAAGAAGTTTCAAATAACAACGAACACGACTGCATTGCTTAGTAGCGAATGATCGTGGTAGCACAATCTGGTCATGTTGCGTTTTACAATTGTTGATTATTACCTAGTAATGATTATAATAACGTGCAAAAAATGAATTTGTTGAATTGTTATGAAATGCAAATAAATTTCAACTTATTTCATCATAAGCGAATGATTCCAATTGCATTTTCAACGCTCGGTGCTGTAGAAATGAATATCCGCTTGATAATTAATCAATGAAAACGATGGATGATGCCAATGTGTTCAAATTACCATAATACATTTAAATATGTTAATGTTATTGACCCCAGCATGGAATAGATTTGCCGATGTTGTTGTACGATCTTTTGGCTTGGATTTTGCAATCAAGCATTTCTGCAAAATCAAGCATTTCTGGCATTCCAGAACTTGATCTTGGCGTTTATGGATGGATTTTGATCAAACTTGGTACTTACATTAGAGATTATAGGTTCCTGATGCACGTCATTTTATTTTTCAGATCGGATTCAAAATAGCTGATTAGTGGCCATTTTGTTTAAATGAATGCACTTCAAGAGGCATATCTCTGATATGCTTTGATTGATTATGTTCAAATTTTATATATTCGTTTTACATCATGTTATAGATATATAGATGTATCGGTATTCAAAATGGCTATATAGATGTATTGAAAAATGGCCGACTGGTGGCCATTTTGCTTTAATTAATGCTGTTCCAGAGCAATATTTCTCAATATGGACAAGTACGTATTTGACGATCAAGATGTCAATCATTTTAATGTTAAAACATCATCATAATCAATCATCATCTTCTGGATCCATGCTCCTGACATGTTTAGGTTCCAACTATATTACTATAAACAAAACTATATATCTTAATTTTGATAACTAACAGGGACTGTGCCATGCATGGCGTGTTATTAATTATTTTGGGTTGGTTTTTGTTCTCAAAAATTTCACTGACCTCAGGTTTTTCTTTTTGAAACAATGGTTTTAGCTTCTATAATTGCTGAAAATGACAATATGATCATCTACTATGAACAATTAAAAATATTGCTTATTGTACAGTCATGGTTTGATACAAAAGAAAATTATTTTTTAGTTTGCTTTGAAATGTAAACTTTAAGTTTATATCGTGAATGAATGTTTTAGATCACTTGATCAATTCTGTATCAGCCATATTTTTTGTTATCACTCGTTGACCTGCAAATATGTCCTTTGACCTGGTAAGCCATTAACCAATCAGAATACAGTGTGATACTTTCATCAGTTTCCTTGTATTTACAATTGCTTTGCAGAGTTGCAGTATGTTTTTTTTAAGAGACTTAACAAGATTAGCACTCTTTAAAAAGTAAAATGAGTACTTAAATAGTTTTAACAGCTTTCATAATGATAACAGGTATAATGTATTTTACCCATTTATGCAATAAATTTGCGAGTCTTTTATTTTTAAGGCAATGAAACATTGCAAGAAATTGTGTTTTGATGGAATATATTTTTTTCTGACAACAAATGAAGCACCATGTATAGCGCCTAATGTTTTTGTATTCACTTACTTATTGAGTTGTTATGGTACGATTTCCAATCAAATAACAGGGTAAAACGGTTGTGGACTGAATAATGTGAAGTATGGTAATTTACATTACAATGTAGATTACGTAAAAACATACTGGTTGAGTTACTGATAAAGCGAATGTTGCGCTGTGTTGTTGTCGTACACACTTGCATTTCGTTTACTTTTCTCGATATTATATTGTTCATATGTTTATATTCTAGGCTCAAGTGCAAGTAGAAACTCTTGGCGAATTTGGTGTCTTCTTTATTCTCTTTATGGTGGGATTAGAGTTTTCACCTGACAGAATACGAAAGGTAAGACAGCCTCAAAACATGTGCAGTGATATACATAGTCCAAAACTGGACTTATGTTTCGGGTCGACCTCTTTCAGTTTGGCGATGAAATTTAGGTCAGTGTGTCTTTAGAAACAAAAGCAAGTCCATAGTAATGACAAATATGACAACATTTTCAAAATTTTTTTTTTTTTTGTGACAAATCAAATTAAAAATAATATGATATGTTGTACTAAAAAATATAATTGTAAATCACCTTGATTCCTGAATTCTGATATCTGTGTGATTTCTAATAATGTCAGTATCACTTCACTCATTTCATGCAACAGGTTTGGAGGGTTGCTGTCTTTGGTAGTGTTGCTATGACGATTTTGATGATGGTATGCGGACTAATGTTTGGATACATGCTGAAAATCATACCCAGTCAGAGCGTCTTTGTAGCAGCATGTCTGTCTCTGTCCAGCACTCCACTGGTTGTAAAGTTCTTAGGAAGCCAGGAAAAAGACACAGGTGGGCTATTTATGAGTGGTATGAATATTTATGAGTAGTATGAATATTCATGAGCAGTTTGTCTTTAAATGATTTACATGCACTTCAACTTAGTTTAATGTATTATTAATGAGAATATTAGATTGTGCTTGTCAATGGAGGGTATCTTATAGAAGAAAGTGCATAAAAATGAACAGATTATGTCTTGTTTAGATAGAAGGGAGTTCAAAAATGATTTCAATAGGTGATTTTCCGTTCAACTCCGAGATCTCCCCAGTTGCGTGAAAGACGTGCACGACGAGCCAAAAAAATCAAATTTTTTATTTCGTAGCCAATCTTTGACAGGGGAATTTGATTATTTGAATACTTACTTCACCGAAATTGACCATCATCAAATGTGTACAACACATTATTAAGCATGGAAATATTCCAAAAAATACTTTCACGTTTGTCGAATCTTATGCGATGTTTGTTGCCACTACGACGCTGTAACCTTTGTTTGTCCTGTTTGTACGTTCGATTTCACGCATAGCGCATGATCACACACGCACTGAATGGAAAATGGTCTATTATTGTCTGCAAAAAACGTCCGATGTTGATTATATAGTTTGTTACATTCGTTATGAGAGGGAGGAGGTGAATGTTACCCAAAAAGATTGTGTTTGCTGTGCGCATGTTTTGAATTATCCATAGCCCTGAGGGGTATGGGTTTATAATGCAATATTTTGAATTTTCTGATGATAAATTATCTATTTGACATATAAATTTTGGTGCAACAAACGTCTACATATATGGAATACAAATTTACACAATCACTGACATCAGCAAGTACTGAAAAAAATCATTGAAAATTTGCATCATCAAATATTTCCAATTGAGTCAAAGCTTATATATAAGGCTGTGTTTGACATGTCGGAAAAAACCTGTCAATGAAGTGACAAGCTGCTCTCTGTCTGAATAGTTGGTATTAAAAACCCAATAAAGCTTGAGTAATGATCGTAGAGTGTAACTGTAACAGCATAGCACATATGCTTTTCATGTTCAAGTTCATCTTACTCTTCTAATGACTTACAAATAACTCTACAGGCTTCAATCCAAAGAGTCCTCGTGAGAAGGGGGATCATTCATTTGACATGATCAGGAGAAGCTCTCTCCTAGGTAACAAAATAAAATAATATTTGATAACGGATGGTGATTAAAATTTGGATTTGGTTTAAAAGATTGGTTTAGTGTGAATTGCTTTAGAATTGGGGTTTAAAGAGTGGTTAAGGATTGAAAAGTGGGTTTGGAAAGTTTGCTGATAAATACTGTGTATAAATGTATTCATAGTGAAATACAGTCAGTTAAAATGAACAGCGTCGTCATAACTACTGTTTTTGTACTTGGAGAGGGTAATTGAGCAAATCACTTAGATTGTGAATCTGTTTCTCAGAAAGTACCAGGTCATACATAAAATATCTGGTCTTATACTTTTTTAATTTATCACAGTTGAAGCAGTGTCGGAATGATAAAGATACGATTATAATTTTCATTGCTTTGATAAAACATGGAATTATGATGACATTGTTCCTTTAAAGAAACTGATTTTATTATAATTCTGTGGTGAAGGATAGGAAATGTGCACTTGTAGATTTTTTTGAATATTTTTGGATTTCTGCTACTTTGGTGGTTTTAATTTCTTTGAAATATTTCGGTAATAATTTGATAACCTATTAAAAAAATGGAAATTTAAAAAGAATTCGTAATATTTCGTTGAGGTGAAAGATTCTGACAAAAAGTAAATACAAATTAGAGGTACACAAACTTGTTCCCATGGAAATAATGGCTTTGCAATTTTCTAATATCGTTAAATCCTACTTTAGAAGGCTTTGAAATGGACGTTCATAATTAAACTAGTTTTTGTACGCCACGTTTTTTCTTCAGAATTTAAAACAATTTATCACTGAGAATAATTTTTATAGCAAATTCTCAGAAAATTTCTTTCCAAAAAATGTGTTCTTAATAATACAAAACAGTTTTGAATTTTTCCAATGGCTGGCTTGCTGCCATTACATATACGAACTTCACATTATTGGATAAAAGTCAAAAACAAATTCAAATATGAAATCCAAAAATAATTAAAACAAAAATGCATGAGTTGAGTGCACATAAAAGCTGTGAATTATTTGATGTAGGTTAATCCTGGCCCTGCTGTTTTAAATTTACTGTTTGGTCGTCTATAATACATGCTTATTTATCGACACTACACATTTAGTATTATTGTTATAGTATGGGCTGTTGCAGGAACGGAAGATATCAGATTTTAACATAACACAACAATACTTTAATTAGATTTGCAGTGTAACATACATTATAAGAGTCTTATAACAAGCCAGGATTAATAAAAAAACAGTTCTATGTCTTCAAATAAAAAATGATTACTCTGCTATAGCAGTTAGAAAAAAAAAAAGGTGAAAAAAGGATGTTGATAACAAATTACCGCATTAATGGTGTTAGCCCTTTTACTGCCATGGCAAGTTTTGTCACCTGCGACAATGTAGTCCCATTTTAATCATTTGATAATTTTTTATATAGAAATGTCAAATTTCGTTGTTTTGGTTCAAAATTACTGTTGACTTTTTAAAAAAATGTGTATTAACATAATTTCTTTGCTAATTTTGGACAAAATGTACACAAGTGCAAATTTTCTACAGTTCCTAATCAAAATGTTTGAAAAAATATGCATCGTTTTGTAAATTGTGTCAAAGGTTAACATTTAAACAGTACTAATAAAAACTAAATTATTTTCTCTTTTGACCATAAAAATTATCAGTTTTCATACTGTTTAGCATTATTACATCCTTTGTTGACAAATTTCATATTGGGGTTCCTGAGAATTTTTTTTGCAGGCATTCTGATATGAAAAAACAAAAGAAAAAGTCTGCTTTTGTGTTCTATCTGTCCTAGCAGAGTAACCAAGCATTAAACTGGCCAATAGGAAGGGCTCTTTCTTTCATTGACTTGTGTTGTATACCAGTATATGTTGTGCATGTTCTTTGATCATTGATCGCAGCCAGTCATTAACCACATTTACATACTATCAATGTGTTACCATATGCCATCTCAATTTAATATGTTGAATATGTTATTTTCAAAAAATTTCATGATTTTCTTGAATTATTTTATATCTTGACTCACCATATTCCTCGCCTGTTCTCGCCATGACCAACATTTTGAACTTGTCATGAATTATTTAGTTTATCAGTAATATTTACTGGAAAAAATTGAAATCGTTCGTTCTGGCGATAAATGTGGCAGTGCATGTTTTATTAATTCCGCTACCCACCATCAGACCATGCATTCACTCAGCGTCACTGCTTTGAACAATACTTTATTGAATATGATAAAAAATGTTCATCTCTGTTTATATATAAAAAAAATTTACTTGATTTTATGATTTAAATTGTGATACAAAAAAACAAACAAAAAAACTGAAGCCACATAACCCAAGAGCTTGAACAAACACCTGGTATCACTAATACCATGTGATTACATCACAGCTGCTGTAAGTGAAAATGGTCTGATATGAACAATACCAAATCTCCCTCTGGCCTTTCAATCATTTTTTTATTCTGCATGTGAATGTTTTACATTTTCTATACATATAGGAAAGTCCATGGGTGGTCATAATAATGAGTATGCTGATTTGTTTAAAGGTAGTTGGTTACAATGCATTCCATTTTAATATAAGGAAGACAATATGGATAAATACGGTCTAGTGTTTTTGCCTGATGTATTTAGTTTCAATCAGTCACAATTCTGTATCAGAATTCTGTATACAAGTCAGTCTGAATTCTGTAATCAGGAATCAATATCAAAATTAGTCAGATTTCTGTATCAGAAATCTATATACAAATCTTTTAGAATTATGTATCAAGAAATCCATATGAAAATCAG